TCGATAGCAGCTCCCTTCCGACTTCATTCAACAGCAGTACCTGCAGCTTCCAACTGCTTGTACTTTGACGTTAAGCCACTTCCAGCAGCCTCTTCATTCAACATGCCATCATGAGGCATGACTTCTGCATCCTCAAATTAAAGAACCTGAGATGGGCAAAGTCTCCACCAGCAGACTCCTTTCCAGTCATCGTAACTGTGGAAGGAAGCTTTTCCTCCCTTTCTGCTGCTGATCAAAACTTGTAGTATCCATAACTGCTTCACTCCCTTCAACACCTTCATCAATATGTACTAAGTCTGTGGCAGCCACCATGGCTAATACATCCTACTTTTGATGAGCTCCAGATTGACTCCCCTGATCACCAGTTCAAACTGTTGTGCGATCATGAAGACCACCAGTTGATTGAGTATCCAGCAGATGAGCATTCTCTGTCGTAGTCCTTATGGTGTTAAACCATTTGGAATGGTGCCCTCTTTCTTCTTGCATATAAATTGCTTTCGTCCCTTTACAACCTTCCTCTCCCGATGCCAACCATATTTGAGAACCATTGTTCTGTCCTACTGTAGCCTTAGGCAATGGTGGAACTTTGTGAACAAAGCTTGAACAACAAAGTTCAGGCTTATGCTCCACCCTCTGACATTTAGCACACGTCGAGGGGATAAACTCATAAACAATTTCTTGCCCATACTCCTACCCGTTGATATCAAACAACACCTCAGTTGGACATGTATTGTCTAAATCCATCGCAATACAAACTCTTCGTTCGGCCCTTGAGCGCAACTTCGTAGGTTTGTCCATGAAGATGGGTTTTTCCTACACTAGATGAAATTTGAAACAAATTCCCGGTTCCCAAAACACCAATGGCAAACCCGGAAGTTTAACCTCACACATGGACAGTTTGTCATGTTTGCCTCGAGGTCAAACCGAAGGGTCCACCACAGCACGAGGCACTTTTTATTCATGAACCATGGCCCACCACAGCATGCGACCTCCATCTCCTCCTTTGAATGGAAACAAAAGAGTAAAAAACTCCCATCGATAGAGAAAATCTCAATGTCATGTTCCTGCCTCTACAATTTCTGTAGCATGCCCTTCATATAGGTCCACTGGGGCCTGCGACCCAAGAAATAGCCCAGTAAACAGTTACTCCATCTTCCCAAACATGAATCGACCATTTCTTTCTCAATCTCAACATAACATCTTCCATTAATGGTTTTGGGAGGTTTAACTTCCAAATCGTCGAAGTACAAAACTCCATTCTGAATGCCTTTAGCACCAAATAGAAGATCCATTGACTTCCCCTAGACCCAACAGCTGCTAGTAGTAGCCGTGTTCATTCCAATTACAGTGGAAGCTCCTCCATTAAACCACCCATACCAAGAGAGCCAGAACTAGATCCAGGGACGGTATTACTTCCTCCAAAAGTGACAGCCCCCTTGCCTTTAGCAGCCATACCATCAGTTATCTTGGCAGTTTAATAACTGTTAGCCAGCTGAACATCTCCATTAACAACACGATCAACAATGTTGTTATGAACACCATTAAACCCTTTCACGGGAGGGCTACCAGTAACAGTCGTATGAACAAAATCTGCAGCAGCAACAGCATTAGCAGCAGTGTTTTCAGCAGAGTCATCATTGAGAAGAGACAGTATGCTGACGACCAGATCCAATCACAGAAGATAGAACACTTCCATCAAGCTGATCACCAGATCCAATCACAGAAGATAGAACACTTCCATCAAGGCGACCACCAGTTCCAATCATAGCGCTAAGGCCCTCAGAAGTATGATGATCACGAAGATTAAAATTCCCCATAGTTTTTTATCCAAGACCATTGCGATAGGCAAAACCAAGATCAACAGATCTGTTGTGTGAGGCATCCTCAATATTACAGTCCGCCTGAGCATAACTCTCAGAATCACCATGGACCCAGCTTTGGGAAGCAATAGAATTAAGAACCTTATGAGAAACATCAACAGCATCCGTATAAGAAAGAGCACAAGGACCTCTGACATGGCCCTAATTGCTCACCCCCAGCAGTCAAATCCCCTGATCGCCATGATAACCAATCTCTCCATGAGCGTTATTGCGACGTCAGACCTCAATGAATCAGGCGCAGAAACATCCATAGAAGAAAGAGCACAAGGACCTTTGGTATGACCCTCGCGCACACCCACAGGCTTCAAACCGCCTACCATACTATGATCACCAGGCGCAGATGCATTTCGAGCGTCACCGTCCTCAGCGCCCTCACTGTCATGAGCACCACGTAACGGATCAAGCCCACCATTGCCTTGATCACCCTTATTAGATCTCACAGATCTGGAAACCTGCAATGCATTATAAGATAACAGACCATGATCAAGAATAATACTAGGAATATGGCCGCTAATAGCACGCCCAGAAGCGCCAGAACCCTCCGTTGTATATCCTCCATAGGCTCCATAGCCAGATCCGGTAATAACACAATACCCAGATCTATCAGCAACCTCCACACAAGCCTCAGATCCAACATCAACTTGAAAACCAGTAACAGACGTTGTCTCCATCGCAGAACCAGATTTACCCTTCCCACGAGCAGTAGGTCCAACAGCAACCTTGTTAGCGAGTATCTTCACCAACCTTTAAAGTTAAGCCATTACCATATTCAACAGAATCCTTATCACAACCATCACCGCCATTAGCACGCACCAGCTTTCATCTCCAGCAGCACCGCCAAACTGTAAGGGTGACCCATTCAGGTCGGGGGGCTTGCCCTCCATGGGGAGAGGCCGCCCATCTCTCTGAAGAGGGCTATCTCCAGGCTTTCGGGCCTATTTTGCCTGACCTGGCCTGTAAAATGGCCCGAATCCGGCCGCTGCCTGAAAGCCTGAGGCCTGGATCGGACTTTTGGCACCCCTAATAAGAGCCATGTTTCTTGATAGCACTAAGCTGTTGTAACTGGATTACTTTTATATGGAATTTATTTGGATGATGTAATTTATTTGAGGAATATTTCTGTAGCCAGTGTAACCAACCTGGTCAGGAAATGTCTTGTCCTTGGATCGCTTGAGTTTCAGGTGTAGAAACCCTTCATGCTTTGACCATTACAACATGGCAATCCTTTCTTTTGGGTTACAGCTTCATATTTGCGACTTTTGCACCATCGATATTTAGTGCTATTGAAAGAACCAAGTCTTTTTATGCACCCATAATGGATAGGAATTTCGCATGCTGACTCAATAATATAGCTATTTTTCAAATAGCATCCATTTAAAAAATGTCACTTTTGAGATCTTCAAGTGCTATAGAGATGTCCAAGGAGATATCCGTTGGCTTCCAGACTGGTGGAGATGAGCACCCGGTATATGCCAAATGTCCATGCACAATGCATTTGGTTTGTATAAGGTTGCGTCCTTCAACAATCCAAATAGGTTGCACCTCCAAATTTTATCAAAACATGTAAATTTAGTATAAAATTTTTTAGGGTAGCCTTACAATCCGTTTTCATCTTTAAATATGAAGTTTTAAACTCCAAAAAAAATGATTCAAATCAAGTAGATCTATAAACACTTGAAACTATTGAGAATGGACCGTCCAGATAATGTGTTTGAAGATACACTATTTTTGGGATTCGAAATCTTTATTTTTTTACATATTCATTCATCCCGATGTCAAGATGATCGATTATAGGGTTTTCCAACACTAAAGCAACATTTTCCAATGGATTTTTGAGGGGCACCTTAATTTTACATTTTAAGGTTGCAACTTTTAATAATTGAAGTTGCAACTAATGATTGACACCACCACATCTTTGTTTGTGCAGGTTGGAAAGAATGAAATTCAAAATAAAATTGGATGTGAGTTGAATGGACATGATTTTTGTATTTTAAACTATATCAACCCTTTCATGCCACTTTAGCCATCTCCGATTAATTTGATGCATCTAGGGTTTATAAACTCTGAATGTCACAGAGTAATGAGATTTGCTATCTTAAACACAGCTCCATATTTTGCACACCATATATGAACATGCTTAGATGGAAGAAAGTTTAGAAACGTGCAAAGGTTGCACGCTATAAAGTCGTGCATTATGAGGAATCGGGCTTGGGTTTGAGTAGTTAGCAGTTGGCGTCAAGCAACGCTACATCTTGAGTTCGATTTCGACTACTAAACTACCCAAAAAAACAAAAAAAAAAAGTTGTGCATGATGCAACTAGGATGTACCATGGAGGGAAGTCCTGTCTCTCAATATATTGGTCACTTGTATTGTTTCCTGAACTTATGGAGCCTTCCATGAATGACCTTGGCCGAGCTGAAGACAGAAATTGACATTTTGCATTTGTTTGTACAATTGGGAAGAAAGGAGAAGTTATAGTCCTCTGCTTTTCATGGAGAAAGATCCATTCTCAATAAAATAAAATTAAGAAAACTAATATATCTAAGCAGAGCATGTAAGCTCCTCTTCTGCGCGCATTTAAGTCATGTCCTCCAATAATATGCTTGGCTGCATTTAGTATATCCAGTGGAGTGGGAATGGAAACAATAAACACTGAATGCTTGTGGGCTTCTGAAAGATCAAATCAATCTGAAATCGTTGAGCATATCAACAAGATGTGGTTCTGGAATGAAATGTTAGGTTCCATATTTGGTTCTTTTTTGGAGTATTGTATGAGAACGATGAAAAAAAAAAACCTTAGAATGCAGAGAAAGTTTTTCTATTAATAAAATTGGTTGTGGTGATTTATGGTCTGATTGAGAATGTGATTGAGAATGTGGCTATTGATAGAGCAGAATGATGTAACTTCAAATAGTTGTGATAAAGTTCTAATGATGATGATAATGAATGAAATTAGCTCTTGAAAGTATGTTATCTAACGATTTATCACTAGGGAAAATAATCCAACTACCCCATAATTGACTCTTTATCATAAACTTGTTTATGTAGAATGACTTGCTACTATGATGTTCTTCATTGAAATTTATGATCATTTTCTGACACGGCGTTACTTCTGTCAGGTATTATTGTTTACTCGTGCCTTCAACACTTGCCATTCTGGTGGTAGGGGTGTACTTTCACTGGCTTAGCATGAAGCTCTTTAAGCATGCTTGATGAAATGTTTGCACTAAATGTCCCTACTTGGTAGCATACTCAACTATTTGAATATGGATGCCAGGATTTTGCATTACCTGCCTCATGATCAATTTGTTTGGGAATGAGTAGATTTTGGAGTACAGCTCCATCTCATGATACTGTTGATCATGATGACAGAGAGGGGGTGGTTCAGCTTGGTTTGAGAGAGAAAGAGTGAGAGAGAGAGAGAGAGAGAGAGAGAGCTTGGCTTGGCCAAACTTATGGTTTCGATCTTGACCTCTCCTCCATTGTACAATTAAATGTCCATCTTAAGGGACATTTAATTTTATTTTTTCCTAAAGGAAACCACATTTAAAGCCAGTAAATTGTTGGGTTTAGTGATAGCTAAATCATCATATTCATATTTTTTTTCTAAAAATTAGGGTATTATGGGAAATAAAAAATTGACTTTATTGGGAAGCAAAAAAATGATATCTTTATAAGAGAATGAAGAATGACATGATACTTATCTTTTGAGAGTCATCCTTTTAGGGGTTATGAGAATGGATTTTCAACATGGAGATGGGTCTCTAAGAGGGAATGGATTTCCAATATGGAGATGGGTCTCTAAGAGAGAGATATGGCCTCTGAGGGAGGGGTGATATCCCTATGAGTTTTGGGTTAGTTAACTTTCACTTTTAGAGAAAGAAAATCTCTATATTGATCTCGTGGTTCTTTCCAGTAACGGTATTGCGGTAGGAAAGAGGATGTTGATTGACGATGTTGCTCTGTCGGTCGGGAGAGCGGGTTTAGAAGGGAAGATCGGTGATAGTCTTTTACCGATGTTTAGAGATTGGTTTTGTCTTTTGTAACCCAAAACTGTAATCTTAATTGTGATAATAGATTTCTAGTTGTCGAGGACGTGGAAGTAGTAGCTTTACAAGGTGAACCATGTAAATCGTGTGTTGTGGTGTGTTTTTTATGTTTGTTTTATTTTTCGCACTGGATTTATAGGTGTATTCATCTACTTTGTGTTTAGTCAATCGTACACGATCTTGGGTGGGATCTCGGTATTTGGGATTCTCGGTTTCGTAATCTAAGGGGTGCACGAGAACCCTACAATTGGTATTAGAGCACAAGGTGTGTACGGGGTTAAGGTTTATTTTAAGAAAAAGATGAGTGACGAAGTTTTATGGATACATGGTTTAAGGTGGAGAAATATGAACGGCAAAATATCTGTGAAAATTCCACAATGGAAGCAAATAAAAAGAAATCAAGAAATATCCATGGTTTGAGGTAGAGAAATATGAAGGTAAAGTGTTTGTGAAAATTCTACAATGGAGGCAAGTATGAATAAATCAATAAATTTATTAAATGAAGGTTGTCAAGGCAATTATGGTAATTTTGCTATCAAGGTGGAGATTGTTGGGTTTAGTGATAGTTAAATCATAATGCCCATATTTTTTTCTAAAGATTAGGGTATTATGAAAAATAAAAAATTGACGTTTTTAATAAGCAAGAAAGTGATATCTTTATAGAGAGTGAAGGATGACATAATACCCATCCTTTGAGGGTTACCCCTGTGGGGGTTATGGGAATGGTTCTCCAATATGGAGATGGGTCTCCAAGAGAGAGACATAGCTTCTGAGAGGGGTCGTATTTTCATGAGTTTTGGATTGGTTAACTTCTACTTCTAGAGAGAGAAAATCTCGATGTTGCTCTCGAAGTTATCTTTCCAGTAACGGTATTGCGGTGGGAAAGAAGATGTTGATCGATGGTATTGCTCGGTTGGAAGAGTAAGTTTAGAAGAGAAGATTGGTGATGGCCTTTTGCCAATGTTTAGAGATAGGTATTATCTATTGTAACCCAAAATTGTAATCTTTATTGTGATAGTAGATTTTTAGTTGTCGAGGCTGTGGATGTTGCTCTACGGGGTGAACCACATAAATTGTGTGTTGTTGTGTTGCGTTTTTTATGTTTCATTTATTTCTCGCACTCGATTTATAGTTGTATTTAGTCGATGTACACGATCTTGGGTGGGATCCCAATGTTTAGGATTCCCAGTTTCGCAAGCTAAGGATTCCCAAAAACCCTAAAGTAATGGGTTGAATAGGGTTCAAACTTAGTAATGAGGATGGTGACTAGCATATCTATTTAAAAATAAGCTATTAAGTATTGTGTTTCCATTGTGTCAATGGAGACTGATATACAATGAACGTATAGGGTAGATCATGTCTACTCTTAAGGCTTTTCTTTTTCTAATGTTAAAACAGTTAATTTCATTTGCCATAAAAAATGTTGTATAGACATTTGAGTTATAAATATGGAAAAGTAGTAAAGGTCATCTCCTTTTCATAACGTCACTTTTGACCAACACATCAGTAATGTTGTTGATGAGGCTTAAAGTTCTAAGTTTTTTTTTTAAATTTTGTGAAAATCATCACTTTGTAAGGTACAAAACATGCGCACATATTTCATGATAAGACAATAGATAATGGTAAGCTCGAACATAACATTTTATGTTCTTAGGTCATGCTTTATCATGAAATGTTTTTAAGCGTGTGGTTTGTATAAGGCTGAGGCCCTAAACAATCAAAGTAAGGTGCACTTCCAAATAGTATCGAAAGATGTCGTTTTAGTACCGAAAATTTTTATGATGACCTACAAATTTATTTTCATCTCTATTTATGAATTTTAAAGCTTAAAAAATAGTGTCGATCAAATTGATCTATAAATACTTGAAATCTTGAAAATTGACAGTCTAGATAATACAACATGCACTATTTTTAAGATTTGAAGCTTTTTTTTTTATTTATATCAGTTTATTTCAAGGTCAACATAATTAGAGGGTTTTTCAACATCGAAACTTCTTCGGTTGAAATCTTGAGGTGGGCCTCAGTTTAATTGTTTAGGGCTTCAACCTTATATAGATTTTTTCCATGTATTAAGAGTCCCTAAGCAAATAATGAAAGCCACTCTTGACAACGAAAATGCAATGGAAGATATGGGTTGTTCACTTCCAAAAAAATGTTTAGCTTTACCTTATTCATGTCATTTGAGTGTCCTAGCGAGTGTTCGCAAAATCGGCTGGTTGGAACCGAAACCAGCCGGTTAGATCGTTACCGGTGGGGTGGTGATTCTTGTTAGGGCCGGTTTTACGGTATACATGGTAAGATGAAACTCTTAAAAAAAAATCGGGACCAAAACCGACCAATTCAATGTCGAACAGGCCGTTTTTCTTCAAAACCGGGCGGTTTTTCTTCAAAACCGGCCGGCTTCTTAACCGGACCGGTTTAATGTTGTTTTTGTGTGTTATAACACCGTTATAACGCATCAAATAATGGTCGTTATTTGACACATGCCCGTTATTTTCATAAATCAAGATTTTGCAGCTTTTTTTTCCTCCATTTTGTAGTTTTTTTTTGTTTTTTCAGTCAAATATTGATGTTATACACCGTAAAGTTTCAATATAGTTTCTATTATTTAATCAAAAGTTGAAAAACAAAGAGTTCTTGGCGGATTGAAATGGGGATTTTTGAAAATTAGCAATTTCCGCCATTCTATCAAATGCAGCATTAATACCTCACAGATTTTCATAAAAATGGAGGGCTTTGACTAATTGTTAAAGAATTCACATATTTCAGTTTTTCCAAAACGATGAAGATTTGAAGTTTTTTTGGGCCCGAAGTACTGCTGCTCGAAGAGTTGTTTTTATATAAACAAATTGATTTATGATCGATCAATTGATAGATTTTTATCGAATTCATCACTGAAGTTTGATCATAAAGTCCTTATCTATCAAATAAACTAGTTATTTTGATTTACCATTGATTAAATTTTTTTATATCGATTTTTTTTTACTGCGTTTTTTCCTAAAATTTTTGTGAAGTAAAAAATTCGCAATTTTTTGAATAAAGATCTCAATAGTGAATAAGTTTTCATGAAATTTGGAGCATTTGAATCTTAATTGAAGTATCTATCATATCCCCATATCAATTTGTTCAAAAAATGAAAGATTTGGGGTTGATTTTGACTCTAAAGTTTCTGTAGTCTTTGGCTCGATTTTGAAGTTCTTAAAACAATTTTTTTTTTAATAAAATTAAATTTTGTTTTTATAAAATTATGAAACTTGTGATGAATATTCTTTTTATCTAAATTTATAGATTTTTGGTGAGCTTGTTGGATTGTTTTTAATATTTTTTTACAAAAATATGTTTATTTGTGATAAATATGAGGAAAAAATTTGTTTCTTTTTAATGTTATATATTTTTGGCGAGCTTGTTAAATTGTTTTTAATGTTATGTATATTTTTTTATAAAAATATTATTTTGTGATGAATATGAGAAAAAATTTATTTCTTTTTAAGTTTATTTTTGTTGTATGTTACTGATGTCTGTGTTCTCAAACTTCTTGTTTAGTTGTAACATTTCTTCTAATTTTTTTTTTATTTGTTACAAGCTATCTATCATTTGTTGCAACATCATACTCCTTAAATCTGTTTATTAGCCTCTATGAAGAAAAAACTAGAAACTAAAATGTGTTTTATTCATCTCTCATGTTTCCACATGTTGAAATGGATAAAAACTTGACCTCTTTATTTAGTTATTTATTTATTTATTTATTTATTTATTTATTTTAATAGGCATCTGAATTCTACATTTTAAAGTTGCTATCCTATATAAATTTTTTTTTTTCATGTTAAAACCCAACTCAAAAGGTTATTGAGTAAATGAGGTTTGGCCATTTCAAAATCGATTTGGTCATTTCAAAATCAATTTGGCCATTTGAAAATCGACTTGGCCATATTTTTTTAAAATATGAGATTTGGCCATTTGAAGCAGCACTTAACACCTTGACCCACACACTGCATTTGATAACGAAGTTAATAAGTAAATGAGGTGCTCTCTCTTACTACCTTGACTCACAACCTTTTGAAAAGCTGAGAACATCATGCTACAAAAAAATACGCTCTCAAACCCAATTCTAAACCGTATTAAAGAGTTTTTCAACATTAAAACAACAATTTTCAACATCAACATTAAAACAATATAGAAGCATATATTGTTGCATCATCATCCAATGTAAGTTGGACTTTGTAACTTCACCCATTGAATTTATGTGAAATTATAAATTGTCTTGCATATTTTCTTCATATTCAAATATTAAATTATATAAAAAGTTGTATCAATTATTTTTATAAGATAAATGTATGTAATATGATGATGTATACTTAATCTAAGTTTTTCTATTTGTCTTAAAAATGTTTTGGGGATTTTGACCCATTTTTTTTTAAAAAAATCTACTTGACCGGTTGGTCCAACCGGTTCGAACCGCTCCCAGCCTCATGACCAGTTAACCGTTTCGGTTCGATTTTGCGAAAA